GCCAACCTGGAGCAGCCAACCTGGAGCAGCCAACCTGGAGCAGCCAACCTGGAGCAGCCAACCTGGAGCAGCCAACCTGGAGCAGCCAACCTGGAGCAACTTTATGATTTTAGTGGTGAAATCACAAGTCTTCCTGACTTGTCTTCCAAAGGACTTGAGCACAGTCCTTTGGCAAAGTTTTACCATATACAAGTTTCCAAGACAGACCAGAACATAACTTAAACCTTAGTCCAAGAGCTATATACAATAGCTTTTTTTAAAAAAAACTTCTTTTCAGGAAGCCTATGATTTTGTTCTGCCATAACTGTGCAGCCACTTGCTCATCCACGYTAACTGGTATTACCAGATCACAAGGGCATTGCACAAAATAARACAACCAAACAGCCCCAAAGGCCTCCCTTTGCAATGGGAGCCTGAGCTAACCCCAGTCTTATCTTGCTGCTCACACAGGTCCTAATGTCCGCTGAACAGTTTCTATCACAGCCTTTAACTTTCCAAGGTCTGKTTCTTCCCTTATTTTTTCATCTTCCTAGCTAAAAAAGGCATCAATCACAACTTGACTTGTCTGCCTCACAGTGACTTGGCTTAGTCCAAAAAGACCTTTTTTTTAGAACGCAAAAAAGGCACAAAATCCAAAAGAGAAACAAATAATTGCAGTAACAAACTATTACATCAACATGCTAACATTATTATAACCATGTGCAGACTGTCTCTCTTTCTGGACATCTGGACTTTGTACAGCTGATATAAGAACTTCCCACTTTTTCATTTTCTATAACTCTTTACAGAGAGCTGAAAATATTTCACCTTGCAATCAACAACACATGGGAAACAAAAATTCTTTACTCTGACATTTGCCATTGAATTACCACTGTAAATGCAAAGACAACACATCATCACTAGGAATGCTTAGCATCGTCGAGTTCCGATATATCCAAAATTAAACATCTCATCACAGTCAAAACRAATGTGCAAAAGCTGTAGGACACCTTCACGAACATACATACAATACAAATTTAAGTCAGATTTTACTTACAATCTTGTTAACTTCTGCGTGTTCTGGAAGAGCAGCTCTGGAAGAACTTGCAGTTTATTCCTGTTGAGACGCCTAAACAAAAACACAAGTAGAACGATCAAACAAAAACTAATTATCTTCCAACTTGAGCAGCTTATTCTACTATGCATAACCACATACAGCCTCTATTAACACACGGAATTGAAATTTGTGCTATGAACTGAGCACAGAATGTGCTGTCTACCAAGGAGACACACGCAGCCCACCTGCCTATAATGCTTGAGGTAGGGAGTCAAGACACCCTCACCTCAAAGCCTGAACCCTTTGGTAGAGATACTAAGTACACAACTTTTGAATTTCATTTCATCTTTGAGGCCTACTGACAGTGACTTCTTAAACATCACCTTTGAAGCTGAGGAGCACTGTTGGAGAAAAGAGGAAAAAAGCAGATAACCMACAATGTGCTGATGTGATTGTTTCTTTAGGGTATTTCCAAGAAGGTTTTAGGCAGAAATTCAATGCTTATATGTTAATCCATTTGACTTACCTTGAAGAGTTTTACATTTCGGAACACACTTTATCATTTGCAAGAAGCCTKCTGTGTTACAAGTGACACCAGGCTGCCAGCTACAAAAAGCATAAACCTGTTCCCTTTGGTAAAGTGTAAAAACACAAAATCTAAAGGCAGTTTTATTTATAAGCAAGTCTTTTTCCTCCAACCTTCTTTCTGACATCAAACCAGTTTTCCCAGCCTCATGGAAAGGTACTTGCATATGGGAGCTGGCCTAAGCTGAAGAAACACAGCTCTGCTGTTCCAATTATGCTCATATATAAGAGCATATTTTTGCCTTCCTCTTTCCCTATCAACATTAAATGTTCACTAAATTYGGTAACAAATCTATTTCTGCTGGAGTTCAGATCTCAAAAGGCGCCTGGATTTTCAGGATCTCCCTGCTGCTTGGCGCCCAAGAGCTGGTGCCCAGTTCCCTCACACATCGAGCATCTCCAGGCGGAGAAGCCTGAATCCGTTTGAAATTGCAAGAACTTCCTCGGGGATCCAGCTAGGGCTGCAGGGACGCAAACGCAGCCGCTTCATATGGCCACCATCTGCACAGGCCTCACAGGAGGCCGGGCTGGGGGAGAGGGAACCACCAACTCCCCTCTCCGCCACGCAGGCCGCACCGAGGGCGGCTGGGCCGGCGCCACGYGACATGGCCACACGCTCCACGCAGCCCATATCCACACGGCCCCGTTCTTTTGAGGAAAAAAACAAATACTGACACCAAAACGGTGTCTTCTTTAGTGCTTTTGCCCACTATCTGCCTGGTGGCTAACTCTTGGATCAAGGAGCAGAACCTCAAGAAAGCCTCAACTCCAAGGTCCATCAAAAGATACTAAGCATTCTTTAGCCTTTTGGAAAGTGCATGGCAAGTTTTAAACCAGCACCCTTCCTCCATAAGACATGTCAAATGTTTTTGGTTCATTAAAGCTGATCTTGAAGCTAGTAGTTTAGTATTGACAGCAGAGTAAAGTCTAATTTAATCCATATCAAATTCTTTTTTCAGTTAAGCATGTTTATACTAGATCACACTTGATACTTATCAGGATGAATTACAAGGAAAAACTGTGATAGGGACCTTCAAACTGTAGATGGGCTGCAGACATTTCCTATTGGGCTGAATTTTTAAAATATATATTGTATATACACATATACAGTACACAGAATACAGAAACATAAAAATACAATATTGCCATAAAGACCGTTTTACTGTTTTCACACTGCAGCACTCAGTGAATGCTGAATTCATCTCTAGTTGAATTAACCCATAGAGACCAACTGCTTAACAAAACTCTTGCCTTGTCCTAACTCGTGGAGAGCTCAATATTCAGAGCAACCTTCCAGCACATATTAGTGCTCATGTACTTACCCACTGTACCCGATACTAGTCTCTATTTTAAGTGCACAGTATTGCTGTCATGGTGGCAGCTTGCATCCAGTATTCCAAAACTAGGTAAGCAATGGAAAAACAAAAGTATCTGAGCTAACAACCACCATTAAAAAAGGCAACCAAACAACAGCAACGAGAAAAACACAGCTTGCATTGCTTCAAGCTTTGGAAGCTCTCCAAACATTTCCATCAATTTCCAAGACTTGTTTCAAGCTCTAATTCTTGCAAAATCTCATTTTATCCATGGTTTGATCCCAGCAGAGAGCGAGCAGGGCATTTTCTCTCCAACACCACCTACTGCATTCAGGCAACTCACGCTGCCATGCTTAGATARAGAGACCAGATTAACTTCTGCAAACATAAATATGTTCAATATGGCACACGTTTAAACACGCTGTTTTTTATTAAGTGCCAAAACACCACCAATAGCCAGCCCTAGTACAATTTCTAATTACACTGCTAAAAATATTTTTTGAGGGAAGTATCATTAGGAAATTTTTTGATACACAAGTACTAAAGTGCAACTCAGGATGTTTTAAAATCCTACACAGAGGACATAAAAAAAGGGGTTTGAAATTAATGGAAACAATGGCTATTTATTAGTACCCTGCCCTCCAGCTTGACAGAGCAGTGCCAAATGCAAGACACTATCTCCATCGCTCATCTCCATGCAGAATCCATGCAGCCAAAGACCCAAAGATCCAAAATCATGTYGTGTTCCCTTCCTAAACCCTTTCCTTCATCAAAGCGGGCAAAGCTTCCCAGCTGCACTGCTTCCTTACCTCAGCGTTACAAGGAGAAGCACCTCAGCAAGACTGGAAGCTGCTTCCCTCTTTACTCAAGTCTCCCCAAGCCGCCTCCAGTTCCCAGTTGATTGCATGGAAAACCACCTCATCTCCAGCAAGACTCAATATTTCACAGCTGTGCCAYAGCTCCATGAGCTCAGCAAGCACTTCTTGCCCACACACAGACCCAGGTAGAGCACAACAGTGCTTCCCACCCCCAGAAATTATGGATGGTTCTGGGCCCAGAGCACCAGGTCACCTTGCAGCCCCCAGCAGGGCTCCCTCAGTGACACTGCCAAACACCGAGCGGCCGCAAACCTTCTTTATAAAGGTCCTGATTCAYTTACAACATTCCTTGATAGAATAGTATTTCTAAATTGATAAAATACCCTGGAAAACATCAAGCCACTGACTACTACAAGTAAGACAARGCAAATTCCTGTTTAAAAAAAGAGTTTATCTTCTATATTCTATATTGAAACTACCTATATTTTATGAATATAAATATTTCTGTTTTTAAATTTGTAATGTTTCAAATAAAAGTGATAGAGAAATGATATTTGGAAACAAATGGAATTTTATTTAAAAGCCCATCAATTTTTGCAAGTGTGGTTAACATGACTATCCAGSTAACGAGAATGCTGCACCCATTCTCTCGTTTTGTGGATCTGGAGAGAGAAGTCAGCTTCCAAAAGGATCCTGTGCATTTTCCCTCCAGCCCTGCTAATGAACTTGAGGGTCCCCCAGCTCCTCCTCTCATCTATGCCAACCACCTGCAACCCACAGCACACAGGAGAAAACCTCCCCTCCATCCTCTTATATGATGTTAGAAGCAGACCCACCACACAACCCACAGCCACATGGGCAGCTTCACAGAGCCCAAGTCCAGCAACACTGAGCTGGGCCTKGGGAAAGGGGTGCGGGGTGCAGCACCACACAGGTTTATTGGACCTAGCACTATTGATGAAAAGTGGCCCATAAAAATGACCCCCCCAAAAGTGACAATACAAGCCAGCCACTTCCTAACTCCTCACRATAGTTCTCAGCACATCAGCAAAGGGCTTCCAGGAGCCCCCACGTACCACAGGAGCCTCTCAGGAGCCTCAAGCCTCTCAGGAGAGCCCTTGCAGAGCAGGAAACAGTCAACACAGGTGACCTGCATTTCTGTATGCAGGAATTCACTACAGAATTCAAATGCTGCCTCTTCTAAAATGATTCCAAAGTCTAAGCATAATTTTCATAATTAACACTGGTTATTAAACTATGAAATTGAGTTTTGGGCACAAGCTAATGTACGTGTGTAAATAATCAAGCCCTGCAATCACCTTTATGCAGGAACAGAGGGTTAAAGCTTCAGACATTTGMGTAGGCAGAACTGGATTTTGCGGGAATAGTCACTCACATAAAATACACTACATAGATACACATGCATAATTTTGTACAACACAGTAGTTTTCAATTATAACTTTATATGATGAAGTCTCCTCCCTCTATATCTGCCCATAAGTTTTTAATAAAAGAAGAATGACTCCTTTCTTCAGGGCTGTGGAGAACAAGACATATCAGCATTACTCTGAAAGATATATACYTCAGGTTACCTGAGAACCATTATCCTGCATAACTGCTTGAAATTATTTTCAAGGCAGATACAAAATAGGATAGACATGAAAAAAAAATCAGATTGGCATGGGGTACTTCTAAGTAAATTAGTAAATATATCTTTAAAAGAAAAAAAGAGTGAGCTATGCACTGAGGAAGACTTACCTGCCACAACAGCCTAGTTAGATGACTATTTCCCTGAAATAAGACACTAAACTATTTAAAATATAGTCCAGAAAAAAAAACAAGTTAAGGAGCTGAGAGAAAAACTTCAGAAAAGATATATTAAAAAAGAGGGAAAAAATAAAATAAAGGACAAGAAAAGAAAATGCTGCCTCCTCTCTCCCAGAAGAGCCCAAGTTTTGCACTGCAGGGTCAGGCACTGTTGCAGCTGAGCTCACTCAAGGTTGATAAAGGTGCAAGCCGGGCTCAGGCATGCATGGACATCCAGGYTTAACCCTTCGTGGCAGCAACCAGGCACCTTTTGGCCAGGGGAACATAGTGGTAGCTACTGTTTAAGGTACTCTACCTACTAGGACTAYCTAAAGTTATTATTCAGCTAATATYGGCATACTCCCAAAGTAATTTTGCTATTATCAACTATAGCTGATTTAAAAGAAAGAGCAGATAAAGGAAAAACAAATAGAAAGAATTGAGGCCATCTCAGGTGCAACTGCCTGCAGGCCATGACCCCACTCTGCTAATTGACAGCACCTGTGGCATTTTAAGCCAAACAGGGAGAACACACAAAAACTCAGCA